CACCTAAAACCACCCTCATAACTCCTTTCAGAGAATCGCTTGGCAGATTTGGAAAGCGGATTAGAATTAAGCGCCCAAAATCACGTCTAGCAGTATAGGTCTTATTACAAATGGCCACTTCGAGTTGGGATCCTTCCCTGGTAAGATCCAAGAAATGTGCATAGCCAATTGTGAACTACCCGGCAATCTATCAGAGTTCGATACTCCTGAAATGATCTGGTCGCCGGCTGTGGCGTGAAAAGAAGCTATAAAAGTTTAAACGGAAACGAGGTTCATGAGCTGCAGAGTCCACTGTTCTGCTCTGCATTGAACGAACCCTTAGTACGCTGAGAGGAAGGCCCGGAAAATGATGAGACGCACGATGCTCCAGGACTTTGAGTACTGGCGCTTGTTTAGATGAACTAGTAGGATCAGGAACGAGTACATTGGAATGCTCACCCTAACAAGTTCTTCTCATCTGATAATGGGAGGGAACCTTTATGCTATCTAGACCTATGCTGAATTATTCAACGAACCCTTGATAAAAAAACACAAGTAAGGAGTTCAAAGCAAGTGACCTAGTTCGGCCTCTAGGAAGAGGTGGCCGAACGTAACAAGAAGGACCTCGTCGAAACCAGCATCATCGCCGAAGGTGAGAGGTGATTAATTTATCATTTGGAAATTAATCGTTTAATTGCTAAGTGACCTGGATGAACTGCTTGTCACGCGTATAACACAGAAGTCGTGCGTCCGGTAGTTAAAGCGACTATGACAGTGCGGCTGTAAAATACTCTCCAGAGGGCTTACATCCCTCCAGCCTCTCCAAGAGGCCAGAGGAAGCCTTGGAACCAGTCTTACATTCGTTGGCTTTGTCTTTTCCAATTGAAGCAGGAAATTAGTAGCTGTTGTATTATCGATCAGTGTTGTGTGAATGCCATGTCCCTGTCGTGCTGCCCTTACAGCCACTTCTCGACGTGATTAACTCGCAGTTTTAGTGGAGCAGATGTGGAAGATCTAGGGGATGAGGTAAAAGATCCAAAAAGAAGGGATTATCCGCTAATAGAACTGAAAACTCGGCCGCAGTTATAACATCAATCGAAATTTCGGTAGTCAATTATTTGATGCATATTGGACACTGGTCAATTCAATCATCAGTATTTTTCAGATTCCTCATGAATCTTAAATATTTTTTTCGTATGAATGCAAAATGTTTTTTTCGACCTTTCTTGATTTTAAATCTCCTCCTTATGCTCGTGTGTTTTGAAAATGTATACCTTTAGGATCGCCTCCCTTCAGTGCAAGTTCGTCCAGAATGGCAAGTAATAGAAGAAATGGACTTCCCTCGTCTTCTCAAGCTCAATTTACCTGGGGTAGGCAACGGAGAGGACATTGGTAAACATCTGTATGGGACTCTGCACTTCTACGACAAGGTGGGGGTGCTGTTTTTCCAATTATTTTTTGATACTGATCAGGTCGTGAATCATAGATAAAGTCTTTCCTTAGGTATTGTATTGTTAAAGGTTTTAACTTCGTTGTTCATATCTGAGGACGCTTATTGTAATTGTGTTATTCCAGGCAATCGACCGTGTATCAGTTCGAAATCCTATTACATTGCAACGTTGCGGTGGTAATTTTTACAACGTTACAACCACTGAGGACCCGGTCATAGAAGAGTTAGCTCAGCAAGGAATTGGAAATGTTTTCGCTACCGATATCATCATTGCAACCCTTATGACTGCACCTAGATCGGCGAGTTTGGAATTTTCATAAATTTTCCGAGGTTTCATTTTTGTGCTTGCCCGGTCCTACCGTCTGTATTGGCTGATTTCGTTTGTGGAAACTGCCAAACAAACAAGACCAGTCAACCGGAAGCTTGACAACCGATCAATGCTGGCGACTGGGTGCCTCACCTAACACCCACTCCCTTGCGGAAGATGAACACTACATAACATACATACCGGGTGACCCACATGAAGTGTGACGGGCAATAAGAAAAATCAACTTATGTGCTTCTGGGCTGGAGGATGCGATGATCCCTTGAGCGGAAAGGAACGCGATGAACGTCAGCTAAACCTTTCCCAGGATTGGGCGCCAGCCCACAGCGCAAAGAAGATGCTGCATGTTGTGAAACGACGCTTTCAGGTTTTTGGGGCGGAGCAGGTTTGACCTTCAAATTCCCCGATCTAAATCCTGTGGATTTTGCTGTTCCAACAATTCTTGAGCAAAAGCCTCCGCTTTCAAACACAGGTCTTTGGACCCTATGAAAAAAGCTTTCTTGTAGAAGCGGGGAATGAAAGCGAATGCGCGCATTCTTGAAAACTTCCAAAAGAGGTTGGATGCTTGCATTAACTCATTGACGACCATGCAGTCCACATGTGGACTGCACTTTTTCCGCCGCGTGGGACCGTGCAGTCTACATGTGGACTGCAGTTGTATCCTTTTTTTTTTGTTTTATTCATCTATATTCCCATTTTTTCACAATTTTTCTTCTCAAAACGTATCAGGCCTAAATGAAACTACATACAGCGTGGTCNTCATTGACGACCATGCAGTCCACATGTGGACTGCACTTTTTCCGCCGCGTGGGACCGTGCAGTCTACATGTGGACTGCAGTTGTATCCTTTTTTTTTTTGTTTTATTCATCTATATTCCCATTTTTTCACAATTTTTCTTCTCAAAACGTATCAGGCCTAAATGAAACTACATACAGCGTGGTCCTAGCAAATCTTCTAATTTTACAGTTGTAAAGATGTTTTTTCCAAGGAGTACATTAGCTTGGCGAATTCTTCGTTCGTTGAACAACTTCAAAAAATGAGATATTTCTAAAAGACGGTCGTCATTAGCATTTTCGCTGTTATCGACCAAACGCAAAGCTCCCAACGCAATGCAAATAAAAGTTTCCCGAAGCGATTTCTTTTATTGATTGCACCCATAATTGAATGACCACTAGAATTAGTGCCGATTCCATAATAAAGATCAATAAACACCCAATGTGGGTATTCTTATAAACCCATTTGATGGGACATTCCTAAAAGCATATAATTTTCTCTTATAAACATCAAAAAACGGTCATGCTGGACCACGAAATCCAGATGCCGGCTGCAGTCGCGGGTGGACGAGAAGCGCGCTGGTCCCTCGCGGCGCTTTTCCCGCAAAACGTCGTGGTCGTCAATGGGTTAAAGCGAAATAAGGTCGTTCTGCATGCGAAATGTGATAAGTTGTTTACAATTTTGCGATGATTGTATAGGAGTAAATGTTCCCTATTTGGTTTGATTTGTATAATTTTTATGCTAGTTTTCTGCGTCACATTTCATGTGGGTTGCCCTGTACATGCATAGATAACCTGCGCTTCGATGGTCAGTGTAAAACTCAAGGTTAATAAAATTTCAGGCCAGACTTCACCGGTATTGAAGCTAGTTGTAGTTGGTAGTTCGAATGATGATCCATGATTTCATGGCTGGCTCCAGCTGAATAAAGTGGACGGCTCACTTTCCAAGCGCGATTTTCTAGCCGTGCAATAAACAAGATGGTTTTATCCATATGCTTACAAATGCTAATCTCGATTGTAATGTTGCTGAGGTTTCTCTATGGGACGAGTCTTGCTCCACAAGTATGCCAAGTGGGCCATTGTGTCAAAAAACGGGATATGCTGAACGGAATAAGGACTCAAGGGCCGGCTACGTCGAAGTTCATACCCAGAGGCAGTCGTGTTTTAACGACACAGTCTTCATCTTGAGAATTTGGCCCGAAAATTATCATAAACTGTATGCCTCGAAGGAGAACTTTTCAGGTATACTCGTGGGATATTGTTGCGCATCGTGTTGGAGATAAACTGTTCCTGGACAAACGCGATACAGGTGGCATATCAAATCCTGTTGATGCATTGACTGTGTCTGAAACAAGTGGTGATCCACCGTCGTTTGAGGGTGCGGGTATAAATAATGCAAAGGTTTGTTTTATGACCTACTGGTTTTCCATACTGCTTATATGGAAATTGAAACCTTCACATGCTTGTTAATTTGAGAATTTTTCTTATTCTCGACCTATGTCGAGTTGTGGACGTAGATTATTGACTATGGGCTTTAGGCTTATTTCGGGGCGAATCGGATTTACTCTGTTCAGACAAGGGGTATCCTGTATTAATGAGAGGATAAAAACTTTTTTTTGGTATTGGTAAGCCCTTCTTCTTTGTAATGCTCCTCAGCATTTGTCTTCAACCGAAATCGTAGTGGCGCTTTCGAATGCCTATCTGGTGTCGATCCAAGACTCGCTCTCTGAACTAAGCGTCTGATCGTGCGCCACTTAGCACCACACGATCCCCGCTCATCTCATAATGTAATGTTAATTCTTCGTAGTCATTGAGATAAGCTGCCCTGATAGTGACCATTAGGAGTCACCTATATTCAAGATGCAGCAATGTCTTTCATGTCCGACTGTCAAATTCTAATTTTAAATTAACTTCAACTCCGATCAAAGAGTCGTGTAGCAAGTCGGGAACGCAGGTTCGATGTCAGTATTCGAAAACATCTGCAGCAAAATGGGTCTTACTTAAAATAGCCGGTTCGACTCTAAATCTTTCCCTTGTCAAATCAGATCCATCCCGCCCCCCCCCCCCCCCCCCTCCCCACTCCTGTTCATTAGAACTTCTTCTGAGAGCGTAAGTAGTGTGTTTATAGGTCGAAGTTGGATTGACTTGATAGTATGATGCTTACAAACGGCAGACTTTTGCTCTTTTTCGGGCATATATTGTTGCTCACCTACAACTGAGCAACGACTTGTACTTGCTTTTCTTCAGAGCCAGTGAAAAATGGTAAACTTAGTGTAATGATAATGTTGTTCAGTGGTTGCTCGAATTTACTCGAGTGAATTTCGAAAATTTTCTATTCCTACTGTTACTTGAGGTTACCCCATTGTGTTATGAGTGATCAAAACGTTGAAGGTGAAAATTAGAATAAAGCGGCAGTCACTAGTGTTGAATTCAGCCTGTTTAATGCGAAATGACCCTGAAATTTTAACTTTAGGATTTGGCTACGGAGGCGTTGTTCATCAATCAAAATTTCCGCCGGCAAGTGCTTAAACGCAACGAACATCCATACGTCATGGCCCATCCTCGAGCACCTTTCGAAGAAGAGGGTGGTGAATCAGGTTGTGGCTATAGGTAAGCTTCCGATGTAATCTTTCTTACATAAATAATGAAATTGTGGCGTATGTAAAACCTAGAGTTGAGTCGGTTTGTTCGCAGAAGCTCATAGTTTTTGTACTTATTTTTGAAATCTGTTGCTGCTGGATGGGAAATTGAGATGTCGAGAAAACAGACGACCCGTATTATATCCTCTAATGAAAAAACCAACTTAGCTGGCAGCCCAATGAGCATGGAGAAGGAGTGCGACACAGAGACAGAGTCGAACGACAGAGAATTCGAGGTTCGTGCCAAGCGAAGGGTTGACTGCAGCGGTTGTCTATCATCCATCAAGAAAAGTCTTGGAGCCTTCACTCTCTTCTGATGAAATAGGAACGACCGTTGTAAAGCCTACGCCTGCTTTGCCGTGCATCTGCAGTAGTATCCGAATCACTTCACGAGTTGGCAGGCCTTTCTTTCACGTGGGAAATTGTTGCGTCCGAGGTAGCAGGCAGCAGATGGAATATTTACTAGAGAGTAAACTGAACATAACTACAATCGAGGGATTTATAAACCCCAATGATCACTATTTAGGCGGGAACGTGATCGTGGCCTCAACAGAACCAATGTCCTATGACCCCTACAACACCTCCCCCCTAAGATGGACGCTCTAGGCCTACGTCTTCTTCTTAGGATCGACCATCAATCGCTCTGGAGGGCGTCGTGATCTGGTTCGGCGTTCTCCTGCGATGGCTTGTGGGAGCCGTGCTTCGACAGTAGTGGTTGGCAGCATCGAGCTTGCTTCTTCCGTTACGTGGGCGGACCTCGACATCGGCAACAGCGGCAGCTCGACGAGTTCTGTTGGTGTCTCTGTAATATGTGGATTACTGCTGCTAGACGTAACTGGTTGGCATGTCTCTTCCAGATTTGTCCATCGACCGAAATGTCGTAGAGCCTGTTTCCGTATTGTTGTAACACTTCACCAGGCGCTTGTTTCGGTGCTCCGGAACGATAGTCCTTGGCCCACACAGAGTCTCCAATATCGAATTTTCTCTATCTGGCGCCGTGATGACGATTATATTGTTCCTCCATTTTTCGGTTCCGATTGTTGTAGTTTGTGGTCGCGGACGGCTTTAGAAGGCTGAGCTTTGTCCGTATCCGTCTTCCAAGGACAATTCTGCCGGCGACTTTGCTCCTGGTGCGGAAGGGTAAGGAGTTCGACGGTAATTCAGTAGGAACTTTTGTAGAGCTTCAGTCGCTGGTGAATTTTCCTTCATCTTCGTGAAGCTTCTCTTGAAGGTGTCGACAAAGCGCTCTGCCTGGCCGTTCGACTGTGGATGGAATGGCGGAGACTTGATGTGTTTAATACCATTCTGGCTGCAGAAATCGCTGAAATCCTTAGACGTGAATTGCGTTCCATTGTCTGTTACCAGTGTCAGCGGATTGCCGAATTGGGTGAAGAGGCGGCGTAACTCTCTGATCGTGCAGCTTGTGGTTGTTGACGGAATTCCCACAATCTCCGGCCACTTCGAATAGGCGTCGACAATTATGAGGTACATCTTGCCATCCATAGGCTCTGCAAAGTCGGCGTGTATTCGGATCCATGGTTTGTCCTCCAGTGGCCATGAGTGAAGCGCGGCCTTGACTGGATTTTTAGCAGTTTCCTGGCAACGACGGCATGTTCGCACGAAGTTTTCGATGTCGCTGTTGATGTTTGTCCAGTAGGCATAGTTTCTGGCGAGCATCTTCATGCGAGTCATTCCTGGATGTCCGTCGTGGAGTTTGGAAAGTACTGCGCTCCGTAATGTATCCGGTATGAAAATACAATCGCCGATCAGTAAGCATCCATTCTGTGTGGGAAGCGATTTCTTGGGAGAACTGAATCTGCTGATGGCATCCGGTTTCTTTGGCCATNACATTGCACTTGTCCATCCGAAAGCAGAAGCCGTAGTCGGATATCCTCTTGAACAGAGCTTCCAGATCGGCGACGTGCTCCTCGATATTGCGGCCTGTGACGATAACGTCATCGAGGTAAGCAGCGCAGCCCTTGAGTCCACAAGTCATGGAATCTATGATTTGATGGAAGATGCCCGGCGCCGATTTGATGCCAGACGGGAGGCGATTGTAGCGGAGTAGTCTTCTGTGTGTATTGATGGTTAACAGCTCCTTCGCTTCGTCCTCGACTTCAATTTAGCATAAGATAAGCATCGGCGAAGTCGATTTGCGTGAATGCTGTGCCACCATTCAGCTTCGCAAAAACGTCGTCCGGAGTTGGCAGCGGGTGTTGATGTAGCATGAGCGCGTCATTCAATCCAGTAGAAAAGTCGGCACAGAGGCGTAGTGTTCCATTTGACTTCTTGACGACGACGATCGGGGCTGCCCAGGCAGAGTAGTCGACCGGGGAAAGCACTTGTTCTGCAAGAAGCGGTCGATCTCTTCATCGAGAGCGGCGACGTAGGCATAAGGCACAGGGCGCTTCTCCCTGAAAACAGGATGAGCATCGGGTTTCAGCCGGAGTGTCGCCTTGGTCTTGGTGCATCGTCCGAGTCCTGTCTTGAATACGTCGGCATGATTGACCTTCAGTTTGGCGACAATCTCCTCCCGGCACGGAGCGGCGGGCTCAGCGACGATAGTCACTCCACTGATTTATTTCTGCAGTGGTTCCACACGTAGCAACAACCTTGCCCATGGTGCTGCTTTCCGTCTGGGCTCCTCAATACAAAGTCGACCACAATTTACCCTTCTGTGGGAATTCTGGATCCATTAGCGGCGTTGACGATGTTGTTGAACTTCAGTAGTTACGGTCTTCCAAGCTTCTTCCAACTCGATTTTGAAATCAGTGTGATCATAGCGCCAGTGTCGAGCAGAAGATTCAGGGACGTCCATTCACTTCTACTTCTAGGTGTGGGTTGGGCGTCCTTGCGTAAAGCATCCTCGATGCTTTTGATCTGGTAGCTCTTTGCACCGCTACGTCTGGTCTGTGGGCGTGACGGTGGCGTTGATTCCTGGTTCCCAGATCTTGGTTCATGAAGCGCATTAGATTCTTCTTTATTCCTTGGTTCTTGTTTCTGCTCGAAAAATCTTCTTTTCCTCCTCCTGCTGACGTAGTTGACGGGAATGCTGAGGTTTGTGGCATTCTCCAGCATTCTTGCATCTTCCTTGCACGACCTGATGAGTTGGCACACGGCGGTGAGGTCTTTGATTGTGACATCGTCTCCTTGATCCAACTTCCTCAGCAGCCGTGTTCTGTAGTTTGCGAACTCGGCTCCCTGAAATCCGGCAACGTATACTAGGCATTGGAGGCCATCGAAGTTGATGGAGTCGAAATTGGCATCGGAACTTCGCGTGCGCACAAACGTCTCGTAGTTGTTCAAATCCTGGTGGTCGTACTTGATTTTGAGACATTCGAATCGCTGGCGGAATAGTGTTTTAGCAGAACCGAATAGACGGTCCATAGTGGCAACCGCTTAATCCCATGACAGGTCTGACGGCGGCCTCGGCGCAATGGAGCGGCAAAACAGCTGGTGGCAGTCTTCGTCCAATCGGGTGACTAATAGGCGAGTCTTCTCTTGCTCACTCAGCTCCGTACAGTCGTTGTCGAAAACGTCCTTGAAGCGTTTGTACCGGATATCGAACGTTCTTCCGTTCTCGGCGTCGAAATTGAATCTGTCTATGCGACGGCAGAGGGAGTCGAATATAGAGTGTATTGCAGCTGCGGGATTCGCTCCACTTATCCGCACCTCTATCTTTTCAAGGGCATGGAGAAAGGAGTCGGAAGTATCCTTCTGCTGCTTCAGCATGTGCTGCAGTGTTTTCTCCTGTTACATTACCGGCCTTGCATCAGGGAGAGGATTTCGGCTAGCTTGTCCATGGGTTCTTGATTCTGATCGCCAGTTGTTGCGTCCGAGGTAGCAGGCAGCATATGGAATATTTACTAAAGAGTAAACTGAACATAACTACAATCGAGGGGTTTATATACCCCAATGAGATCACTATTTAGGCGGGAACGTGATCGTGGTCTAAACAGGACCAATGTCCTATGACCCCTACAACATAAATAAACTTTTCAACATCCGTAACAACAATAAAAGTATCTCATCGAAAGACTGGTCTGCTCCCCCTTGTAAGCACAGCAAATCTCCTCAGTGGCCAAAAAGCTGATCCAGGAGGTAACTTTCCTTGTCCGTGAGGCTGCGCGCGCAAAGTATCTCAGTCGGAGAAGCATAATGCAATATCCACTCTAATTGTTCACGAGATCACAGACAAAAAACGCTAATTTCGTTCCGTTTTTTCTTCGTAACTAGGTTAGCTTCTCTGTTTTTCTCGGAGATAATGGTGCATAGAATGACTCAACTGGTCGAGCATTACAAAGCAGTGAAGTGAAATTCTGAAAAGCATAATTATGAAGTCTTTGCTTCGTCCGAGTTACTCGGGCTTGTCATTAGAAAATCTCTAAAATTCGCGCCCTCTAAAATTATATCCGAAAGCCATTCGCTTTTGTTGAAAGTATCCAGTCAGTTGTGTGGAGCAACTAACATGATCAAAAACTAAGGGAAGAGAAATCTAATGCATTTCTCAGGTTGTTCAAATCATTTCGATACCAATAATTCAGAAGTATGACTCAATCTCGGCCTCAACGTCGTGTTCTGAGAGCGATCTGCCTCATTGAAAACAGTTAACCCTTTCAGAAAATACTTAATCTTTCAAGGATGGGTCTTTGATCTTCTGTACAACGATTGATAAACCGAGGGTGTTCAAAAACGGTGGAAGTTTTCAGGACAACCCAATATATCAGATTGGATGTGCAAATTACTAAGGGTGTTTGATTGATGGTACTCATAAATATGAGTTCAATGAATACTCCGCCTCGGCCAGCTCTATATATAGAAAACCATGATGAAGATGTTACTAGAGAACTTTGTGAGCCAGTTGTACATCAATGAGTAGCTTTCTGGAAGTGATTCTCTACGTGGTAAGTTTCCGGAAGGTAATTCATGAAAAAAGATTTATTCTTCTGCGCTCTGGGGTGTTATCGAAAGCCTATATCCGGGCCAAAGTCCAAGGTTTCAGGAAAGAAGGTATTCTTTACAATCAGTGATTGTTCGCAAAGAGTTGAGTATAAGTATGGTTTGATTTCATGAAATCTGATCCTTTCTGAAGATTTGAAGATAAATTGAAAGACCATAATATCGTCAGATTGCAGAACCAATCTACAGGGTGGCCCAAAATTATTGGTGCCGAAATTCAGAAACCTACAAGCTTGAAGTAGTTTATCAAATTCACTTCACCCGCTATTGATAAGTTGCATAAGAAGGTTCTCCTGCAAAATACACGCTTACTGAAGTGAACAAACAAAATCTCCTAGATGGAGGAGGCTCATTGAACGCCACTTGCAGTCATTGCATGCGAGAGGTGAAAGGGCATTTCAAAATTCCTTGTGATTTTTATGATATCCTATAGGAGGTTATTAAACGATATAGAAAGGGACACTTAATCGGAAGCATACCAGGAAGAGGTAGAAAGGCTAATGTTTCTAAAGATAGGGCTATTAAAATGGTCCGTCTGCGAGTCGATCGCGATCCTGGGTGATATATCAAGAGGAAGTCAACGGGCACGGCTTATCGGATTGTCGAGATGGCAGAATGTTAAGCAGAAGCTCCTTTGCCATCCCTGTCATATGCAGAAAGTCCACTTCATCTCCTGACTCAATAGACAAAGTAGTGTGAAAAAATTCAGAAGGTTGTTGACTCGCCTGGGTTTATAAATGCATTCCTGCATCGTTCCCTCTAGCTAAAAAATTTTTGCGAAAAGACCATTTCATAACAAATCATGCGATGGTGTTTTGTACAAAAACATTGAACGTGCAATTACTAACAAGAAAGGTGCTCCAAGAACAGCAAAATGATGTTCATTGAGGGAGTCAGTGGTAGGGTAAGACGCGCGCGGTTTCGTCAGTGGCGGTGTGAAAGTGGTAATGGCCTTTGCTAAAAGGGTATACTGATAGACGCAATGAAGCACTGATCCAACCTTGCTTTCTAAAACAGCTCGTAGTCCTCGCAGCAGGGCGGTGTTCCAGTCCGCAGAGCCGAGCTCGTCCGTGATTGGTGCCAACGCTAGCTGCGCGACTTTGTCAGCAAGGAGGAATGGCCGTCATGTTTTCCAGATCTTGACTCACTTGATTCTCACGTATGGTCACTGGTTAGACTGGGACCTATAGAGTTTGCAGTCCCAGTCTGGAGTTTTAGAAGGCAAGACTGAAGAACGGCTGGGAAGAACTGGAGGAGGATACCTACGTGCAACATGCGAGGAGATTGACGAGTGACTTTGACCCTCTAACGGTGATAATAAGGGAGATTTTGAAATGTGACTGTCGCATGTCGTAGCACATAATATAAGCAAACGTGCATAAAGATTCCATTGCCATTCTCAGCTGAGAATCTTTAAACACATTGCCATGAACTGGTGCCCACAATTTTGGAACATCCTGTACAATTCGTTCTACGTCCCTCTTGGCCAATCACAGCCTATACCACCTAGTTTTTCTACAAATCTACTGGTGAGAACCCGCTCTACTCAGATATCTTCCATTCTGAAATTTTATCCCAAATTTTATACCATTTTTATACCATCACCCACCGGTTTTCAGCGGCCTGGTAATCTCAGAGCTGTATATCTGATTGTTGGGTTATAATCACTTCAGCAATACTTCAGCATAGGACGAGACTCGGACCCGTGCGTGTTCGTGCTTCCCATGCGCTGCACTCTATACCGCACACTGTCCTGAAACCCGCTCTCCTTCGCCTTCTTAATGAAACAACGTTGAAATTTGAGTGCTGATAAGCTATGGCCGAAAAGCGCAAGTATGGGTTCGGATCCCGTTCGAATCTTTTGAGACTTCTGCCTCACTCACTGCAGCGAAATAACAGCAGGTAACAAAACAGAAGTCGAAACAGATTTCGTGTATGATCATTGACTATAACTCACGACACTGCAGTGGGTTTGCGCCTCTTCTGGGTATTCGGTAGACTCCTTACAATCACATTTGAATCCAAAATATCCTCGAAGTCTTACTCTGTTTTGAATTTTCAACTCTAATGCCTTCGCTGCACGTTCTATTGGCAACGAACATATGAACTCCCTTCGTTTGCTCATTCCTGTTGACCATTTCTTGAGTGCCAGGCATCTCAGAAAGGTATCGCTAGCTCTAAGCTTATTGTACACCCCCATCTATCCCCATTCATTATGAACAAATGAACTCTTCTGTAATACTTTGCCATTCCACACCCTTTTTTCAGAGCTTTAAATCGTTTGCACGTACTAGTAATTTTTTGTTGATTTATTTCATCACTTCCGCGAACATCTCATTTGTCGTAAACACTTCTTTTCTGCTACTTTGGTAACCTTATTGTTAGCTCATTTTACGATTCAGGAAAACTTTGGAAAAACCCGTTTTTTATCTCTTATTTAAGGACAAATTCCAAAAAAAAACACAAACAATAGCAAACACAAGCGGAGCTCCATCACTTCAGTCATTTCAAGCATACTTTCAACCTTTTTCAGTTGTACCAATTTTACTCTTTCCTCTAGGCCATCGCGAAGTCGAGTACGTTATTTAGAGAGGTGGTGCCGTTGTTTCAGGGAACGCTTCACCCCCTGCAAATGGACATCCGTCTCTCCCATTGACACACCACTCACCACTGCTTTTTTCTCTTATTGGGTTATTCGGAGTCGAACGTTTGATCCTTGGCTTCGCCAATTACGGTCCATGTTCTGGCTCCTGTAGACGGGGCTCCGCTCAGTTGATCTGTGCTCTTTCTTCTTAACCAAACCACTCCTGTTCCAAGTTTCCGTTCTCGGACAGTTTCTTTTAAAATTACGTGATTGATTTGATTTTAGGTATCGTAAATGGATTCTTGGAAAGAATGCGAATGATAAGCCCATCGAAGTTGTTTGCCGCACTGAACATGATGGAGTCATGGTATTTTTGTTACAAAGCCTACATTCGTAATTTGGACATAGTCTATGTTGTTTCAGGCCGGTCCTGCCGGAGATGTGCAGTTCTTGACAATAAAGTCATTCAATGAATGGGATAGCTCGCAATCAGGCGGAGTAGATTGGAGGTAAAGCTGATCAATTCTTGGGCCGCAGCCGTTCCAGCATTGAACTGAGTTAGCCCCGGCTCAAGTCAGCTAGCAAATGTATTATAGCCTTCCATAGAGTGGGCAGAAATTATGACAACTGAGCGCGCTGACGCTGAATTTTCCTGAGTTTATAACATTTCATTCGGCTTCTCCCATTTAACATTGTAGATAAGATTATTTCTTTCCTAATAATACTGGACTTCTGACAGATTTGAAGAATACTGGGAGCGTCACTGTCTCATGAATCAAGCAATCATCACTTTGCAATCACAAGTATTTTTGGCGCGGAACATATTCGGACGATTCATTGTAACAAAGCAGCTGGTATATTCAACTATAAGACGCTTTCTAGAGTTGGGAACATATGCAAATGGAAGGGGTAAACATACGACACTTACGGTTACGTTTGACGCAGTGTTAATACGTTGGCGACTGCAGCCTTTTTTAACCGCGCGCCAAAAGCCATTTTTTGCGTCGTTTAATACATCCCGATTTGAACACAAAAAAACATAAATTACAAACATAGTATCACTTTTATCCTGCGTCCCGACATTGGGACGCGTTGTCCCAGCGAGCCAAAAACGTGCGTGTTGAGGCAGCAGGGCGAAGGTCCGTGTAGCGGTAGATCACTGCGCACAAACGGCTAAAGGAATGGATATCTCAACAAGATCTGCGCAAGATCTTGGGACATCATCTGCATAAGAAGGCGTTTATACGGTCAAAAGTGATTTTCCGAGTGAGCAGGCTGAAGAGAAGAGAAAGGTTGGCGCACAGCAGCTGCTCCGTTTCCAAAGAATTGGTCATAGGGAGCTCGTCATCAACGAGGAGTCATTCACGTTGGAAAAGGTGCTCGTTCAGCAGAGCGACAGGACTCACGTGAAGCTGAAAGAAATGGAAATAGTGCAGCACCAGTCTCACTGACTTTCTGTGATGACCTTTGAAGCATCATTGCCGAAGCAAAAACAGGTTATTTTCGTAGCTTAAGAAGTAATGTTAATGTGGAGACCTGTTTGATATTGCCGTAAACAATTAGACATTTTGGCGATTCGAACCGGACACGTCAAGATAGAGCTCCTGAGCGCAGATCAAAAAATGTCAGGGATTCGCACAAGGCGTTTCCCGACTTCATAACCTTCAATCAGTGGCCATTTAGGGGCCGCGACCTGAATACTATAGGTGTTTTAGTGTGGTCAACCTTCTAAATAAAAGCATGCGTCAGCCCAAACAGGAATAGGAATAATGAAAACGCCTGGTGAAAACCAGATCAACTCGTTGATTCTGGCTGCGTGTCATTGCCGACTCCTTCTCTCGCTGTCTTCGGGGTTGAGTAAAAGCGGAAAGCAAAGATCAGACACAGAGAGCAAGTTACAATAGAATTTCAAAAGATCTATCAGGGGGGGGGGGTCAAAAAGGTCAGAAAGGATTATTCTCAAAATCTCTTTCTGAACTCCTAGGGTGTTGCATATAGGTATCGCGCATTTCTCCTCAGGTACTCTTCAGTGCTGTTTCAAAGGGCTCCAAACTGGAATGGCGGAATTTTACACGCTTCCCCTTCGGTTGAAGACCACGCAAAGAAGTCAAGTGAGTGAAGACTCGACAAGCACAACTCTCGGCCAAACTTGACCGTGGAGCGCACCTCGATGGAAGCACAAAAGCTTGCTCTTGAAATGAGAAGTTACTTTCCACTCCTGTATCGCCGGAACCGATGGCTTACCACGGCCTTTCCATGGCCGTGACTTCCCATCGTCTCCCGAACCACCACTAAAGCAGGAGAAGTAGCATTCTCGGCTTGAGTGCTATCATTTTAGCTGCTAAGGATTGATTGCATCAAGTGTTGTTTCGTCAGAGAAAACGAAGAAAGGATGCGTGTTCCCACTGAGGCGGATCAGCGATCTTATGCATTTTTCGACATTGTGCTGTCTGTTAATACATATCAGAGAATAAGTGACATTTCATCCTACGATAAAAAAAAAGATGAAGCTTCTCCTGTACGATCCGCCACATAGACGACTTCGATATGCCTACTTTTCGTGCAACTCCTCTATTGGATCGCCGAATATTGCTACCGACTCTCGAACAGACTATTTAATGATACTATCCGTGGAAACGCTGACTCTATTAAGGGCACAGTTCACGATAATTTTAGGGTAATCCAGATTATAATGAAAAACGGAAGGCAAGATCGAAACTAGTGCGATGAAGGAGAATGCGTGCAACGGTGTTTCCAGAGTGAAAAAAGGCCTCGAAAAACCGTTAAAAAGAGGGCTAGACGAGAATGAAACCAGGAAAATGAAGAAGAGTGGAGCGTCCGAACGAGCTAAACAGTGTGTTTCACTGCGCGCGTGTGGGTTCTGGTGCGAATAAAAGACAATGGTAAGCGAAAATTCATTCACTTATAAGCATAAGTAAACAAAAAACCCTAGTAACAGCAAAAGTAGCTCACCTTTTTCGGCCTCTAGGAGTAGGAAATTAAATAAGGGATCGCGGCAGCAAAAGAATAACAGAGGAAAAAAGAATAGGAGAAAAACACGGTCTCATCACTCACCTGTCTGAGTGTGGGTCCTAGAACGAATAATATCAATCTGTATTTTCCCGACACTCGTCTAACGTGACATCGATCGAGGGGCGGGGAAGCGAACTACGGCAGCAACGGGGCTTCCACTATGCCCCAAGCGCCGAAATTGTGGGAGCGAGAGAGTCCCTTCTACCACCCATGGGGGGCGCTGAGTGTTCCTGAAGGAAGAACTCAGTAACCTTTTTTTATCGTGAACCGTGCATTTAGACTTGTCCGAAAGTCTTTAGGCGCAAGTAAACATGGGTCGTCTTTTCCCTATGGAACGCCATCCGACCGTCACCACATTCCAGAGCATTCGCTATACCACAAAGAGTTTTCACCTGTGATATTCCAATACTCATAGGCTGCTTTCATAGTCCACGATTTGGCCCGCGAGCGACAAGGGGCGGCGATTGCCCTTGTTTATAACTTGGTTTTGGTCGATACCGTAAGACGAATAGTACCCCGGTCGCTCGCTCGCTCGCGGGCCAAATCGTGGACTATGAACGCAGCCATACAAGCGCCTCTCTTGTGAACCATGTCGCAGTTGGGGGGTGTCAACTTCGAGCATTGTCTTCTATGGGAGATGCCTCACCCCTGTGTTTTTTCTGCTTCCTCCAACACCAACACTGCTGACGGAAAGGATTTCACCAGCGTTAGTCGACTATCCGCTCACTTTCGTTCTAGAATGATGACGCTCTACGATGATATTCGTTTCGAAACCAATTGCTATTGATGACGACTTTTTCCAGCGAAGGGAAGGAGACGAGGGCTACAACTATGGCGGATTTGATCATCCTGAGTGTAGTCAAAGCAATCTCGTCCGACATCGTCAGCGGACAACATGGTTATAGTAAATTTCTTGCCTAATGATTCAGTTTGTCCCACGATTTCCGTCACATGCTTGTCTTGCTCGGTCAGTCGCTCCTCCTCACTTTCTGTGGAATTTCTGCAGATGGTGATGGGGAGCTAAAGCTGAAAGCTAAATTTTTCACGGCAACAAGAAGAGGAACGCTGTTTGTCTGCAGAAGGGGGATGAAAGCTAAATTTTTCATGGCAACAAGAAGAGGAACGCTGTTTGTCTGCAGAAGGAAAAGTTCGACCTGTATATGCGACCAAGGTGGGAAGAGCATTCAAGGAAGGATTTGCTGTCCTGCTTGTAGATTTCGAAGGGAATGCTAAATCACGAGTTGCTACCGTCTACAGCAATAAGCAACAGGATATCGCGCATGCAGTACAAATAAGGTGACCGAAAAGAATCTATCCTTGTTTTGGGCATTCTTCCTCACGTAGCAAGTACAACAGAGTCCACCTTTCTAGCATTCTACACAGTTGCTGGTCCGAAAAAGTTTGTCACTTTCGGTGGCCTCAAGAATGTTTTGGCGCACTTCTTCATGTTAGTCGTCTTCTTTCTTGGAGAAGGATTAGCTGACTCGCCTGTTCGTTGAACAGATGTTTTAGATAATGAGGGTAATTATACAATTCGGGAAGTGGAACTTTGAGTAGAATTGCGAAAGAATATGAAGCGAGAATCCAAGTGTTTCATGACTATCTTGTCAGCCTAATATCTCTCATGAGCCTGTCTTTGGCTGATCTTGTTATTGAAATCTTGAGAGTTGGTATGCCCCTCGTGTCGCTTCCGGCTGGTGCGTACAAATCATCACAGGTCCATTGGGTGAGCATTCACCACCTCAAAGGTTTTTTAAGTCTTACTCAAAACTTTGAAAGCCCAACTATAAGAAGTAAAATCCATTTTTACAGTCAAATGGTAGCGAGTGAAATCAGGCAAAATTTCTATCTAAGAAGTATTTGACTTCAGTAGATCTCGTATTTTTGGGCGCCCTGTACAGATTGAATGTCAGAATCCTTTCCTGTTGTAGAGGAAGCTAATTTCAAGTTACTGTTTTCAGAGTCAAACTAGATGGGCAGAAAGGAGCCGTTTTGGCAACTGAAATTAAGAACAACAGTTGTAAACTAGCGAAGTGGACAGTGCAGGTAATCGTTTTGGGCGGACCCAAAACTACTCTTGTTTTCTTCTCGCTCTGGAAAGAGTTCCACTTTTGCAGTTATAAGCCTGTATTGTGTGTTGTTTTGATTTTAGGCGCTGCTGGCAAATTCGGATGCTATCAAGTTCGGTTATGTGTCACGTGTGTCTGTACGTAACAGCGCACAGCATTTGATTCTGGGTACGCAACAGCTACGACCTGTAGAATTTGCTCAAAACATTTCGATGAATATGGACAATGGATGGGGTATACTACGTTGTATTATTGACAGGTAAGTGGCGATCATTCCGCTGAGGTACTGACAACTACTTCACTGTTGTTAAATAGCATCAGCAATATAACTACCAGTACCATAAGTACATCCCGACCCGCCTGTTTTTACTGTACATTCGCAATGAATTCAACTAGTTATCAAAAGGTCTAGTCAAGTGACAACGCAAGAGAAGAAAGTTCACCTGCATGAAGGAGTCCGTACTAAATTGCAAATCTCAAAGGCATCTTACGCGAATTTTCCTGACATTTTGTAGAAAGTTTTTGAAAGGAATTGTTCTTCGGGAAATAATTGCAGCAATTTGCTTGCAGCTCATGTTGATCAGTCACGCTTGCTTTTCTTCAAAAATGCGTCAGATGAGGAAGAGTTAAACGTAGTCGTTGCCACATCATAAAAAGCGACACCAGACAATCGTCATATTATCATACTGCACCTGCCATAGGTTCGGTGCTGGAGACCTTTTTGCGACCCTGCGCGCAGCCCAGTTTGAATCTTGAGGCGACTGCTGACTACGTTAGGATGCAGTCGAGGCGGCCTCATGCTTCATGCCAATGGTAGCAAAAGAGGAGGGTTGGGAGCCGGCATCGTCATCACGTCAATACAATGCGCACTATGATCTCGGATGAACTTATTTCCCTACCCCCAGCTGTTGTTCCCGGCTGTAATTGTCCTGTTTTGTTTTCCAAACTGTGGGATATTGAGAAAATAAGAAAAGCACAACGTGCAAAGAATTATGTTGGAAGCTCCTCTTTACAGAAGTTCTCTCTGTTGAGTGATGGTGAGTTTCAGAGGTGACGAGTGAGGTGGGTTGCTCTAAACCGAATCAACTCGTTGTGCGAGATGACCGATTTTCACCCCTGCGCTGGATCCGTTTCAAAGACGCAGTCCACGATAGCTTTGAAATATCTAGTTCTAGACGAATGATGGGAGCGATAGTCTAGAGCAGTGAGAAAAATCGAAGAAAACGTAAAAAGCGGTATGCTTACGGAGATATTACGCTTCAAAAGAAGTAAAACTAAAGGTTGGACGAGAATGTGACGACGAACGCTGCATGGAATGAGCATTAGGATAGGTGTCCAAGATGTTTGTACCATTGCTTACAAATGGTCCTCAGTCACCTGCGTGCAGCTTGTGGGTACTGATGCGAATGATGCAACTACAGCTTTTGCAACGCCGTTTAAGTTTTGCGTCGACTGAGCTTGAGGTTTAAAGCCCTCATATCCAGGCCGCTTTTCGATCCAGCAGTGTTTCGCTTTAGGGAGAAATCTCGGAAACAGCGGGTTTTTCATTGTAGTGAACCTGTGATTAACATAGATATGGTGGCCTGTGCTTTCTTCATTGATATACTAAAAGAAAAAAAGCATTATCAAAAAAGTTTTCGAAACTAAAAGACATTGTGAGGTTAAGAGGCAAAGTTTGAATGCAGAAGACAGATCTTTTTATATCACATTTTTTGCAGTTGTATGCGCCAACCACAAGGCAAATATCTGCTGATGAAGGATCCCCAGTCACCAGTGATAAGGCTTTACTCACTACCTGAAGGAACGTTCGAAAGTGAACAGGATTCCAGCGATGGACAACCAGGGGACTCGGATGACAATTAGACAGTGTTTACATTTTTTCAAAATGAAAAGCCTGCGCACTGCCGAGAACTGTTGTACCAGACTGTTGTGTTGCACGATATGATAATTGTTGAAGGTGATTATAAACATTGCTTTGTTGGGCTAATTTTGTTCTTGTTTGCCCGAGACATTTGAAAGCATACGAAACAACTTTTATCGATGAAAATATTTATTGTAATACAATCATGGCCGTGACAACGGCGGTGAAAGTAGTGAAGGCTCTAGTAGATGAGTCATCGATTTCTTGAGAATAATATGGTGATGTCGGCGTCGTATGGGCTATGTTTAACGGTGATAATGATGATGAGTAGTTTCTTGGCGATGTGGTCTTTTCTTCTAGTTCACGAGCAGGTGCAGCTAAGTAATTTTTTGATGAGCAGAAGCTTAGCACGGGCATTGAGCAAATAAACGAAATTAGAGCGGTGACTTTTGAAGCAGTATGACCAGCAGTACATGAAATTTGTCTTCTGAGAAAGATATCTATTAGTAAGGCGATTTGACCCCAACGGTTGTGTGGAACAGCGATCCTTTCTTGAACTATAACGTACGCATTCGACGACATGAGCATTCTACGTTCACATCGGTCGCGCCCAATGGGGAACGTGCGATTCACACGTGAGTCCATCAGGGCTCTTCGCGTACGCAGCACGCGATGCACCACGCTGCAGGCAGTTTACGTACGTGTTTCGATCCGATGGGTTAGTACCTTTCATTTGAGATAGACCAGATGAGATCTGCGTTAGTCCACGTCTTCACCATGAAGTAGTGCAAATCTCTTTACTATGGCGATGATGCCCCATCGAGATCAAAGATTTACTCCACAGGTCAACAAACTATTTATCAAAATACAGTAACGTTGAAATGTTTTGGTCCCAATAAACGCAATCCTTTTGTAAACGTGCATAGGTGATAATTTTTTTTACCTGTCTTTTATCATTTCCTATTTCTGAAGGCAGGGATAGCCGAATGGATGAGATTGTAGACTCAGGTATGCACTTAGAAAGAGTGCGAGTCCGATTCCTGCCGAAATTCATGCCTCGCAAAAATTGTAAAAATGGTAACGGTTCCAGCGTCAATGGTAAGTGACTGAGTCGTGGGGACATTATGCGAGGGCTACTGAGGAATGAACGGCCTTGGTCCGAAGTTAGTTCGAAGTGGGACACTGAACGTGAGATCGCTTACTGCGAAGTCTCGAGAGGTCACTGATCTAATGAAGCGTTATAACTCCAAGTCCTCTGCCCTCAAGAGGCCCACTGGAAAGGAGCGAAGGCAAGAGAAATCGGAGAGGGTCTCTTACTCTATTACAACGGGAACGACACCAAACGAAATGGTGTGGCCGTAGCCGTGGCATAGTCTCTCAAAGAGCCTGTCTCCGCCGTGAACAGGATTAGCAGTCGAATCATGACAATAAGGATAGACACGAAAGAGGGTTAGTGGTGGATAACATCAGTGTATGCACCACAAGCCAGCTGCCCCAAGTGTGAAAAAGATGGGTTCTATCCGAGCCTGAACAATACCATCAGTTCGGCTCGGGAAAGGGACTATCTCACCATAGGAAGTGAATGAATGGATACGTCGGCAGTGAAAGGAAGGGACTGGAAAGGGCAATGGAGGTAGAGGAATAGGAGCTAGAAATGAAGAAGGAGAGAGGGTTCTCGACCTGGCCATGGCCAATGACTTGTCTGCAGCACTTTCTTTGAAAAGGACGACTCAGAAGTTAACGTAGAGCAGGAGAGGGAAAGAAACGGAAATACATCATGTACTCGTAAGAAGATCGTTCCTCGAAGCTGTCAAAGACTTCAAGATAGTAGACATAGCCAAAGAGCTTCCCAAGAAATCAGTGACATGAACGGAGCGGAGGACGTGGTGGAGGCAGCACCAAGCCGAAAGAGGAACTCAAGTGGAATATAGTGGAAGTTTGGCTCCCAGATCCTTAAGGACCGATCCAGCAGGCCTGGAGCAATACCGTGGAAGTCATCCTACATTGTGCGAGGGAGACAATGCGAGAAATTGGAGGTGGATTCCGAGGAGACAAGAAAGCATGATTTTGAAACGATGAAGTCCAGCAAATCGTTCGACAGAAGAAAGCGGCCAACAAGTGGTGGAAGAGCACGCATGCTCCAGAAGACCTAGATGCTTACAGAACTTCCAAGAGGGTCGCCAAGGCTGCCGTAGCGAAAGCAAAGAATACGAAAATGGAAACTCCATGGACGAGGAGGAAAGAAGTCTACCGACTGGCGAAAGCGCGACACCGGGCTACACAATACATCGGGGTAGTGAAGTCCGTCAGGAACAGCGAGTGTGCAATCCTAAGGGAGCCGGGGGAGGTCAGGCGTAGATGGAAAGAATACTTTGACAGGCTTCTAAACAAAGAATTCGCCTGCGAGAACAGCCCCTAGTCAGAGGCAACGGCTGGCCACATCGGACTCTGGACAAAAGACGAGGTGCGTAGGGCAATCGAGAAAACGAAGGCGGAAAAGCAAATCGGAGAGCACGGAGTCAACCCGAGCCTCCGAGTTGCCTTACATAGCTCGAAGGGGACCCCATCCGGACCAGTGGCTCACCCGATTCCTGAACACTTTGACCACTGAAGGACGAATCCCAAATGCCTGGAGGAGCACCACCATCGTTCCCATATTCGAGCAGAAGGGGGACGCCATGAAGTGTTCCAAGTACAGGGGATCAGTGCCCACACAATAACAACGTACTAGCGGCTAGTCGACTCAAGATTGAGGGAACTTGACTAGATCTCACGAGAGCAGTTCGGCAGAAAGGTCTACAACGTATGCTATCTTCATGGCCTGGTTAAGTATCGAGAAAAGCGTAGACCTTGCTACCTGGCTTTCCTCGATCTAGAGAATGTCTTCAATCCTCTCCCGCGACAGGTCCTCTGGAGAGCGCTCCGAGAACGAAACGTTCCAGAACATCTGATTTCTTCGGTCAGAGACATGTACTGTACGATGGGTCTACGAAGGCAGTACGCACCCACACGGCCTGACTGAAGCAGTAGACGTCACGGTTGAAGTACGTCAAGGATCAGACAGGTGGATAGGTATCGAGAAAAGCGTAGACCGTAGACCATCCGATACAGTGCTGATATAACAAGGGCTAACACGTTAGACTGAATTCATTTCTTGATATACTGAGCTTCCTTTGCGACCGCCGGTGCTCCAGGACCCTCAAAGGGAATGTGTACGGATTAGTGGTAAGGCCCGCGATGATCTTTAGCACTGAGTGCTAGCCCGTAGGTATGAATCATGAAAGACAGCTTCACTCCGCTGAGATAAGGATGCTCAGGTATGAATGCGGATGGACGCGACTGGACCGGATCGGAAACGAGGACGTCAGAGCGGTCACACAAGTAGCCCCTGCACAGTTGAAGATGAGAGAACAGCGTCTGCGATGGTATCGACACGTAATGAGAAGACCACCGAATCACGGTAACGGCAGAAGATGTCACATATAAAGGGAAATGGAGGCGGCTGACAAGAATAGCGGACCCTGCTACGGCGCGGGATTAACGCTAGGGATATAAAGAAGTAGTTTCTATTTCTCCCATTATGATGGTAGGCATGATATTATAGCGCGTCTCCACTGCGACGCCGTCGCCCAGCCCTTCACGTGAGATGACCTCATTATATTGACGCGTGTATGGGACTATACTCGCGCCCCTTCCCTGTACAGTGGTTTTGGCTACGAAGGCTCACAGAAACCTTTGGGTAAGAATTGCGCTACACAACAGATGGGTGTAACGATTACTCAGTATCGTACACTTACCTGCAGAAATGCTGACACGGGCGTCATTAGATTTCTTCAATTTTACCGGAATCGCGAAGTCGATGAAATGGGTACCGCGATTTTTGCCTGCAAAAGTAAGTTTTCCTTATCGGCAAATAAAGAGCCGTTTCTACAACAACGTAAGCGTCAGCTTGCTCTGAATACATGAATTATTGAAACCACTTACTTCCATGATATTTGACAATATCGTCCTCGTAAAATGGGACTTTGAGATTGGAGTGTTCGAGAGCTGACGGGGCTCTGTGAAAGTATGCATCCTGCTGTTGTCCTTTAGCCCATACAACAAACAACCTCCCAGGACCCAATGGGTGATCAGTGGGTTCGATTTCTGTAAACGTTTATCATTAGTATCATTTACCCAAAAGCTAAATTTCAAAGTATTATATACGGGCTTGAGAACAGATGTTTGCGGAGTTGAAAGTGATTGAAATAATGATATTATCGAAGGAATGAAACCGACAAGACAGGAATAATTGAAATACCGGAACTTCACTAGTCAAGTACACTGATATTGGAACATAAGTGCAATACACTGATCAATGTAGTACAGTGAGTTGAGTCTGACCTTTAATTGAACGTCGGAACATGATTACCGTTCGTCCATCCACCTCTCGTCCTGCTGTCGCCACCAGTGACATCTCTCCCTCGTAGCTGAAGAAGAGAGCTCGTTCAAAAATAAATAATGAAACCTTGAACGTAAGGCGAGCATAATCCTGCGATCACACGTGTCATTTAACCGAGATAGTGTTGGGATTTTCAGCTGAAGATTCTGAGGTGCCCATTGGGTCAATAACATAGGATCAAATCATCTTGAACATAATCGCCATGTACGGCTATCTCTGAACCTCGGCATAGTGCAAACGTTGGTTTTCTTTGCTTGAACTCGAACGAGGTTGATAAGAAAACAACTTTATTCTGGCTAACGTTTCGGCGCGGATCGCCTTCTTCAGAGCCTGGAACAATCGAAACAATTCAT